TTTCTAATCTCTTGAAACGTTAAATGTTTGATCTTTGCAGTAACTCATTGGAGTAATTTATAGATATATATGGTATATTCTAATCTTTTTTGAAACGCTACTATTTCGCAGTAACTCATTGGAGTAATTTATAGATATATATGGTATATTCTAATCTTTTTTGAAACGCTACTATTTCGCAGTAACTCATTGGAGTAATTTATAGAAAATAGTAGCGTTTCAAAAAAGATTAGAATATACCATATACGAAGTAACTCATTGGAGTAATTTATAGATATACGGTATATTCTAATCTTTTTTGAAACGCTACTATTTTGATGTAACTCATTGGAGTAATTTACAAGAACACGTTATCTTCTAATCTCTTTTCAAACGTTTTTGTTGATTCACAAAATATACCCCCCCCCATCCCCAAAGTTCTACCTTTGTGTCTTCTTTCTAGGAGCATCCACAACAGCTTCAACCGTAAGAGAGCTTCTTCATCAGTTGTCGACATCCTTGCGAGCTAACTAAAACCTCCACAAAGTTGATCTGGAGAGACGTTTCGTGACTAAAAACCAGCCAGCTCTACGGCTATGCTTTAGAAAGAAACCCTGAAACCAATACTGAAACCCTAGGTCATACATCCAATCAGCTATGTCCTTCGGTTACAATTCCACCCTTTCTATTGGCTGAGCAATTTCGGTATTAATTTGTTATAATCCAATTAACAGACCCGTTTCGTTCATTCGTGCTACCAGTGAGCTCACATTTGTCAGGTTTTTTTTTTGCTTATTACTACATTTTAACGCCAAGCTTCGACCTTAATGACTCTGTAATAGCTTTACGGAATATGAATAACAATGAACACTTTACCAAATTCTGTTTTATAACTGCGAGGGCTTCTGCAACAAATTAACACATCAGGGTTTAGTGATGAATACACGGTCGTATATCTATCATTTCCTTATACGTTTTCACATTTCTTGATAAATCAGCACCAAACTTGACGTGATCAAGGTATTGAAGGAGGTGGGGGTTGGACCCCCCAATCGTATATACAAATAAATGTCAATATGGGTGCGTATCTGTTCCTTGTACGTTTTCACATTTCTTGATCAATCAGTACCAAATTTGACACAGGATGGCATGAGGGGGTTGGACCCCCCCATCTAATTGTATATTGATAGAATTATTGAAAACAGTACGTCTTGCTTTTCACTATTGGGACCCTTATTTATTTGTACTGCACTTTTAATGTTTATTATGTTAAAAAAAATTATGAACAATTTCCTATCCTTTGTTACAAACGAGTTTTTATTTCACCTTCCAACGGACGGATACTCCAGCCGGTGTATAATATTAGAACAAAACATTACACAATCATAACAATACTATGATGATAATGTACCCCTACTATTGTATTGTAATAATAGAACGTAACATAATTACATCAACACTATTATATACACGATAAGAAATCAATGTTGAAATCCATAATTATTGTATATGTGGTATTGTTAACGTTAGACGAAAATCTACGGTTAATAGGTAATGTTTGACACTGTTGACGTCATCAACTGTATAATCAATATTGTTGTTAGTCTATGTACTGAAAGTATAAAATGAAATGTATAGACAACAAATCTGGAGAAATATTTGTTGATATCTTAATTTAAAGTCTCCTTTGATTAAAGAGGTTTGTTTCTTGTTAAAAACGTTGATGAGACAACAGAAAATAGTTTAATTCAGAAACGATTTAAGTTTAAAATTGAATCGATATTTTTACTTTCATGATAAATTTTATGCACTTGGCTCTAGGCTAGGTGATCCCACACTACATCTTTACTTTCGGCTTATTATATCAACACTCACTACACTTATAAGGTTTCAGGACACACACA